CCTGTCGAGACGACAGTCACAGTAGATTTGGTTGCGGTGGGGTTTTTTCCAGTATGACTGGTTTTTTTTGCCCGGCCTGCCAATTTTTCACTGCTATAGTAACGCACATAGCAGGCAGTAGCTTAGACTCTTTTCTTACGATACTTTCGAAGTTGTATTGTTAGGCATGTATGTACATTCATAGCACACCGTGGAAGGGACAGATAACCCATCATTGTTTTCCATTTGTTTTCTCAATTGTTTTCTGAATCTGGTTTTTCCAAGTTTGTTTTCTATTGTTTTCCATATGTGACACCCCTTGATGAGGGACAAATATCACATGTACGTACGTACATACTAACAGCCGGCCTGCATTATGCAGGCGGACTAGCGCTAAGCCGCACGAACTCAATTGCTATATAACTGCAAATATCAATATAATATGTTCATACTGATGGCCTGCCTGTATTATGTAGGCGGGTCAGCGCTAAGCCGCACAAACTCAATTGCTATATAACTGCACTTATCACATGTGTACGTATACTGACGGCCAGCCTGCATGATGCAGGCGGGAAACTACCAGCAAGCGCTAAGCCGCACAAACTCAACTATTTATGGTGGCGCAATATAATTTGTTTTTCTGGGAGCATATCCGTTTCAGTTTTAATAACGCATAACTCACAATTAATTGAACCTGCTAGTGATTGGCGTCGTAATCATGTGATGCTAATTGTCACGTGGTAAAATATATAAAAACGACAATTTAATTGTTGATTTTTATATATTGTATCATGTGACAATTAGCATCACATGATTACGACGCCAATCACTAGAACCTGCCATTCTCATAATTATAACTGCTGAATATCAATATCATATGTTATATTAACGGCCGGCCTGCATCATACAGGAGGGAAACCACGGCCAGCGCTAAGCCGCACAAACTCAACTGCTTACAGTGATCTCCTGGTGCAACATTATTTGTTATTTCCGAGAGCATATCCATTTCAGTTTTAATAACACTAATATAATCTGCATTCATCAAATAAAATTTAACTCCGGTATATCAGACCGGATAATTCCAATATAGAAACACGCGTGCAATGCATTTCGATTGCTACTTTAGATGCAATATATCTCACATAATTTCATTTCATCATATCAGATATGATATTACGTATACAGTACGTATCTCAGAGTAACATTAATGCCAAATTCGGTATGTTCATACACGAACTGTAGCGGCATGTTATATCAGCACAGCACATTAGCATGTGAAATCATAGATTTTTAAACTAATCAAATGCAAGATTTTGCGAACTCACCATTCTAGATGGTAGGAAACTATACACTCCGTGATGCAAGCATTACTACGTTCTTGGTATCTAGCCCCAACTAATTGGTTAATACCCCTTAAATTTTGGAGGACGATGAGCTTAATGCCGTAATATGGTGCACAGAAATTTACCAACATGTAGAACGCGCATAGAGTTTATGGGCATACTTTATTAAAGTAGAAATATTTGCTACTTATTTGTATTTCGTCTCTATAAAGAGTAAATTGTACGTACTTAATTTATTGCACTACAATTACTTTAATTTAAACTTTTATTTAGTTACACTTCGATATACTGTAACAACTTTAATGGAATTTTATAAATACACTATATAACTGTTTTTATTAAATTTCTGATTTTTGATTATTCATCACACTTATTATATTTACGTTACGATATTCAATTCCTTTTTCTTCTCAGTTTACACGAACAATGAAGATCCATTGCCTGACTTGTTCGATGAGTTCATCAGCGTGATTATTCCGCTAATAATCGTCTCATTCTTCAATATAAATATCGATAACGTAAACAACATATTGGTTCAAGGTCAAACTTTTTTTTTGATGACATATTGTTTTTGTTGTCTCTTTATATACTACCAATTCTTTTTATGATAAAAAGCAGAGAAATGTACGATGTTCCAATCTGTGTCATAATTCTTTATAGTATAGCAGCATTCATTATCGTGTTTGGTATAGCCTGGATAAGATTAATTAAAGGTGTTGGTGAAATTGAAGGCGTAATTGTAGGAAAAATAAAGTTCGAACAAACGTCCACACTTGCAATTATAGTTATTAGTTCTCATATAACTTCGGACCTATGTTTTTTTTTTTATCCTCGTGCTGTATATACAAACTCATCAAAAATATTTGTATATTTATATGCAATTAGCGGAACTACGACTTTTATCTGGAGGTTGCTCTCAGTGACTATGCAAAAAAACCACTTTTGTTAGATTCATAATATTTATTCGAATGTATGAAGGATTTTTGAATTCTTTTCTAATTCTTTATACTCCTTTTATACAGATGATAAATATGGTATTACTTTCGAACAACAATTATTATTGGAAAAGTTAATTTTTGCTTTAAATTTAATATACATCTCCAGGATCTTAAATTATTTGAAAGATGCACATTTTTACTTTGGAAGAAAAATCACAAATCTTTGATAACATTTTTAATGTTTATCCTTTGTGCCGATGTTACAGAAGATATAGAAAAAAATGAAAGATTATGTGCAAACTCACAATTTCTAAGGTTTTATTTATTTGTTAAATATGGTGGTGAAACACAACTTGAGATAAAAAAATCTCGTATAGGATCAAAGCTCAAAATTAAAGACACCGATGGTGATGACGATGGCAATGTCAAAAATGACTATAACAGTCAACTTACGAATGAAGTAAAGAAAGAGCAGAAAGACTTTGAAGCTTATAATGTTTTTGTTCTCTCAAATATAATGTGCCAAAAAAACTTTTAATTAAATCGTATTATCTCACCAATTCCGGGAATATCTGTTTATTTTTTTATATTTTTTATTTACAAATCATGTCACTTCATTAATAAAAATTTTTCACTAGCACAAGCTTTATTTCTGCTCATTTTTACAGTAGCATGGACATAACCAAAAAAAAAATTTTTTTTCTATCTTATAATTTTTCATCTTCAGTATTTTGTCTAGCCACGCACCCGGAAAATGTGTACCAGGTTTGGTTCTGGACAATAGGCAAAAATTTATGTCAGAATTAGCACTTCAATTTATTTAGTTGAAATGTTTTTTTTTTTTGAAAATTAAATAATGCTACAAACAATATTTAACGCATATACAAGCATACAAATGTTATGAATAAATAGCTATTGGACACTATATAAAAAATATTTATAATATATTATGATCATTAATTTGGTTTGTTTTCTGCAATATGTTTCAATGATTTATGTAACCTTTTTGTTGGTTGATATTTTACGTGCCTTCATTAAATGAATCAGAATTTCTTTTTGTCTATAAATTTTCTTCATTGAGCTAGCCACTAATTTTTAACCCACTTTGAGTAATTGTCATTGTGATGTAGAATTCTGTTGAAACAGATGAGAGGCCAACTTTCCCATTGATTGAGATTCAGATTTTTCATATCTCTTTTCAAAATGTTCTATTATTCTTAACATTATCTATAATATATAAAAAACCTTTTCATTGTTATATAGTTTAATGAGTTCTAAATTACTACCTTTCAATAAAATTTTTAATAACTATTGTATTATTTCAAGTAAGGCTTTTTTTATAATAATTAGGATCTAATAAATGTGCAAGTAACATAATTAGGTGAAAATTTTTTCCATCTTTACTATTATTAAGAATTATAAAAGCTTAATAAAGTTTTATACTACCAACATAATTATGTTATTCTTCTTAGACAATTAAATATTACTTATTTCATTACTTGTATCACTTACAATTTTACCTAGTAAAGTGGTTCCTTTCTTACTCACTCTTAGCTTTCTATTGGTATTTCAAAAATTTTCAAAAAAAAGTAAGAATTTGGCTTATCCTCTCCAAAAAATTGACATTGTTTATTTTCCAAATTTGAACAAGTTAGTGGAATACAACCATGTGTTTACAGATATGACACTACTATACAGGATTGGGCCCCAGACAAAAAACCTTTAATAGCAATATCAGGTGGCTTGAGATACAGGTTTATAGACAGTGCTAGCACCTGATTTGAGATACAGATTAGAATATGTATAAATGAAGTCATCTGGAGTTAGTTGTAAAGTTGAAAAGAATAATTTTAATTTACAATAGAGATATGCAAATATTGTATTTGGCATATAATTTTTATACTTATTTAGCATAGATTATAATAGTATATTTAGTTCAGTTTTTTATTTTGTCAGGACTCTTTACTTCTTTTCTGTTTTTTTTTTTTTATTTTTATTTTCTGATCATTTTCTTAGAAATTTTGTTTTTATACATTTTTTTTTTGTCTCATGCCATTTAGGAAGAAGAAAAAATTAGAAAAAAAAATAGCAGTATTGACAAAGTGTATAGCAAACCTGTCAGTAATCAAGAGGAACAAAATTTTTAGTAAGTTAAAAATTCTAAGAGAAACAAACTAGTTAGTATAGCTGATTATATTAGGCATAATGCTTGGTAAGCCTTTATTAGATTAGACAGTATACTATAAGCATTGTATTGTACTTTTGTCAAATAGTACAGTTAGATCTCTCTAAATGCATGTCTTTTTTTTGGCTCAACTTGATATAACACTTATAGATTTTATCTCTTTAATATATAACCTTTTAAATATATGTTTTTAAAAATTTTTACTATAATCTCGATACTATACATTTAGTGAGAGTTGATTGTAGTCTGGATAAATAAAGACAAAACTGTTTAAAAAAAAAATACTATACAAGCCAGTCGAACTAATAAATTAACACAGGTAGAAAAAACAAATTAGTATATTTACTGATTTTAGATAAATTAACAAATAAATATCAATAGGCATCAATAGGCATCAATAGGTATCCTGATTAAATCTGATAGAATACTGATTTGAAGATATTAGACAATATTATTTGCTAATTGCTTCTGGATTTTGACACAAATTAGCCTAGAATAGACTTTAATCAGAAATACCTATTTGAACTAATTTATTGATTTGAAAGCTAATTTGACAAATATACTACAATTAGCAAAATTACTGGCTAAACAATTTTTATTAAATAGTATTTTAGATGATTACAAATTATTTACAAATTAGAATAAAAAATATAATACAGTAAGTTATAATTTTAAAAATAAAATTTATTATATAATGCTAATACTAATATTAGGAGAAATTTTGTAGTGCTGTTCTGTGCAGATTTGTAGAAAAATTAAATAATAAATTAAATGAAAATCTGTGCAAAACTTCAGACTCACCAGCTATAGCTACAAAAATTAAATACAGTTCTGCACAAAATTTCAATATATAAAAAATTTTGCAGTTTTTTGTAAAAAATTCTGCAAAAATCTGTATTTTCACAGGTTTTTGCATATTTATACTTATTTAATTCTCCTGATGAATAACAATTTTATCAAAATTTAACACTATATAACTATAAATTAAGTATATAGCTTTTATTAAAAAGAATAAACACAATAATTAATTAGAAAATAACTAAATTTATACTAGTAATTATATATATATAATTTTTTTTTTTAATATTAAGGTGAGGCCTTGCTCGTATCTTTATTGAATAATTTATATAAGCAATTATATAATAAAATTATATAAAAACTTAACTTGTATAATAACAAATAAATATAAATTATATACAAGAATAAGAGCTTAGACTAATTTATCTGCGACCTAAACCTACTAGAGTAGCCAACACTTACCTAGATTTAAAAACTTTATACAAATCCTAGATAAGTATAAAGTTTTATAGAAGTACTATAAGATGTGTAAGATGTAGATTCTTTGTGATATAAATAAGTATAGTATTTTTAAAAGAATTTAAACGAAGGTAGAAAGAAAAAAGAAAAAGGAGATAGTAATAGTAATAGTTTTGTAAAAATTAAATGAGTAAAGTAAATTAGATTTGAAAGAAAAGTTTAGAAAAGCAAAAAAGAAAAGAAAAGAAATAATGTTGGTTTAAGATAATAAAAGAAAATATTTTTAAATAAGGTAGATAAATATAAGTTTAGTAAAAACAAGGAAAAAGAAAAAAAGAAAGGAGTAATATAAAATTTAGAAGGAAATATGAATAAAAAATAAAAAAGTATAAAGAGAAATATAGATAGTAATAATTAAAAGGATTGAAAAATATAAAGATAGAAAAACATTTATGTTGTGATTAATAGATAAAAATAAAAATGAACATTCAAAGTTTGTAATCAGTTTCTATCATCATGGTGCACTGGGTCTAATATTGTTATTAATTGTTTAATAGATTTAGTAAATATGTTCTTGTAATTTTGATAATCATTTTGTTAAATATAAAATAAAGTGTTTAAGTTTAAAGTGAATAAAGTATAGTAAAAAGAAAAAAATAAAGTAAAATTAATAGAATAATATAAAAACAAAAAAATAACACCTTGAGTGTATCGTTATAGCCTAAGGGCCTCAGATATATTAGTATATTTTCTCTAATATATCTGTATAAGCCCACCCTAGGCATGATTCAAACCTCAAGACTGTTGATCAGACAATCACCACTTGAATTACTGTTCCACATCAACAAGGTATTAATTTGAAAAATTTTAGGGTTTAAGAATATTCGAAAATTAATGATCATAAGATAATCGATATAAATAGAATAATAGTTAGAGTTTTAACACTATCGTAACTTACGAAAGGAGAAAGATACCATGAATACAAAGGTCTACATGTTTTTATCAAAAACATAAGCAGTTGTTAAAGGTGTAAAAGAAAGATTCTGTAAAAAAGAGAATAAAGAAGAAAAAAAAAAAAAAAAAAAAAAAAAAAAAAATTGAAATAATTAAAAATGTTTTAAGTATGGATATTGTTGAGGACTAGGAGAAAAAAGAAGATAAAGAAATGAAGTTTTTCTTGGTGGCTATTACTACAGAGTTAAGAAGTTTAAGAGAAGAGTTGGAGCTTAAAGAAAGTGAACTAAATTTTTTAAAAGAAGATAGAGATAATATTTTAGAAAGTAAGAATTTTTTAGAAACATTTTCTGATAGAATGTTGGAGGTATATATAAGTTTAAATCAGGCCAATAATATGTGGAAAGCTGAGTTTAATATATTGAGAGGAGAGAATTTGGTGTTATTGCAAAATTTCAAAATTTAGAAGAAGAGAAGAATGTTTTAAGTTACAAGATTGAGTTGCTTAAAAGACGTTTAGGTAAGGAGTAGTTTGTTTCTTTTTAGATAAGTTAGAGTTAAAAGTTATTAAATTTGTTTTTAATTAATAGAAAAAAAGAATTTAAATCCCAATAAAGAGATTTAAAAAATAAAATTTGAGCACACTCTTTTCAACGATCATCTGGACCAAAAATTCTGAAAAATCTTTTGACCGAGAAGAAGTATACCCGACTATAATGACACTATAAGACATGGGAAAGAAGGCCCTAGAACAGCAGTTGTCATTTAGAGGTAGTTATCATATGCTACCTGCCGACAGCTTCAGAGTTTATCACTTACTGTATCTTGGTAGGCATGGCACTTGTCGTTTAGAGGTAGTTCTCATACGCTATCTGCCAACAAGCTCAGAGTTTATTACTCACCAACAAAATTAAGTACTGTGCATGGTTGGGATAGTTGGGTATAAACTTTTGGAAAAATAAAGAAACCAATGCTCCTTTTCTTTTGGAGACAGTATAGTTTTTCTTTCTGCCGTCTCTGCTGATCTTACCAAAATTTTCGACAAAAAATGGGCGATTTAGCTTATCCTCTTCAAAAGATCAGTATTGTTTACACCTGCCTAATTCAGATGAACTCAGTAAAATGCAACCACGTGTTTGTTTTGTTTATCGATGCGGTGCTACAGTATGAGGAAGAGTTCGGTACCCCCATTTTAGAGATACCCAAGTGAAGTCAGTGCCTGGAACAAGTCCAAGGATAAGGTTTAGCTTTACAACTGAGATATAATAATTAGTTGCAATTATTATATAATTTTTACTTTTATGCCTAGCATGGGCTATAATAGTGTGTCATGTTATTTTCTTTTTTTTTGCTTTTTTTATCTTTGTTCATTTATGTTAGACTATTTTAGAATTTGTTGAAAAGTTTTTTTTTTTTTCCACTATGAGGTGTTTTTTTTCCTAAAATGTTTATGTCTTTTGTAAACATAGCTTTATTTTTTTTACTTTTATGTACAAATAAAGGTTTAATTATGTTGTTGGGCTTAGGTGAAAGAAGTCTGAAAGAAGAGAAGGTAGTCATGATGGGCTGTAGGATTCATCTGTTAAGGTATAGTTTTGGGCCAAATGCAGATCAGAACTATAAGGAGGTAAATCTTACTATAGCAGGTCGAACATAGATGCTTATAGAGTAACCAGGTTAGCTAAGAATTGTAATTTAGATAATTAGAAGGTGGTATTTGTCGTTTAGAGATAGTTCTTATATACTATCTGCTAACAAATTTAGAGTTTATCACTTACTATACAAATCCTTCTTCTTAATTCATATTAGTTATAGTATTTAATATTTAGTCTAATAAATTCGAGGCATGACTGCCTAATGATTTTAAAAAAAAAAAATCTTAGAAATAGACAAATTGGTATATCTCTATTAAAAAATTAGCATTGTTTATTTTTTTATAATTCAAACTAATCTTGGTAAAATACAATTAATTTCTATTATCTTTCTGATATTAATTTCTCTAACTATCACCTCTTTAGCAAATCATTTACTCAATACAATTATTTTTTTAACATTTATCTCCTCAACAAATCATTTATTTAACATGATCATTCTTTAACAAATAATTTTTCTAATATAATTATCTGTCTAACAAATCATTCTTCTAACATGCTGGGTGCTAGAAATAAAAAAAATAATTATATTAAAAAAATAATTTGTTAGGGAAATAATTGTGTTGAAGAAATAATTTGCTAAAGAAATGATTGTGTTAGAGAAATGATTTATTGAGAAGATAAATATCAGAAAAATGATTGTGTTAGAAAGATGATTTGTTAAGAAGATAAATATCAAAGAAATAATTGTGTTGAGAAGATAATTTGTTGGGAAGTTGCTTGTTAGAGAAATTAATATCAAAAAGATAATAAGAACCCAACACAACTACATGTTTGTTTTTGTAGATTATAATATCTTATATAATAATAAATCAGATTTACAGATATAAAAAAATGATTTAAATTTAAAGATTAAGTTAAAAAAAGATAATTAATATCAAAGCAAAGTTTTGAATTAGAGATATATAATTTGTTATAATTGTTATATAATTTTTATAAGCCTTGTATAGATTATAATAGACATTTTTTGGTTTTTTAATAGTTATATTTTTGTTTTTATTAGAACTTTTTCTTTTTTTTTTGTTATTCATTTTTTTTTACAATTTGTATTTTTTTTATTTTATTTTTTGGTTATTTTTATTTAAAAAGTTTTTTTTTTGTTATTTCTCTTTTATTTTATGTTCTTTAAGAAGAAATTAGAAAAAAAAGGAAACAGTTCTAATAAGGTATACAACAACCTGTTAGTAATACAAAATTTTTAGCAAATTAAAAATCTTAAAAGAAATGAATAAGTTGTTATAGCAAATTAACTTGGGCTTTTGCTTGAATAATCTTTATTGAAGCTTGAACTAAATATATAAATTACTTGTTCATATAAACAAAGGCATGACTGTGTTTTAATATATATATATACTGTAAACTATATTTT